CACCGGACAATTCGGGCTGTGATTGAAGGCAGGTGCTATAAATTAGACCGCTGCTGCGATCGTCAGTTAGTCGAACTCGAGTAGACGACAAACCAAATAGAATGTTCAAGACCAGTGCTGTGGTAGTGCTCCTGGCGGCCTTGGCCAGCGCCGAGCTGCATCGCGTGCCGATCCTCAAGGAGCAGAACTTCGTGAAGACGCGCCAGAATGTGCTGGCCGAGAAGTCCTATCTGCGCACCAAGTACCAGCTGCCCTCGCTACGCAGCGTGGATGAGGAGCAGCTGTCCAACTCGATGAACATGGCCTACTACGGAGCCATCAGCATCGGAACGCCCGCCCAGAGCTTCAAGGTTCTGTTCGATTCGGGCTCCTCCAACCTGTGGGTGCCCTCGAACACCTGCCAGAGCGATGCCTGCAAGACCCACAACCAGTACGACTCCAGCGCCAGCTCCACCTACGTGGCCAACGGCGAGTCCTTCTCCATCCAGTATGGAACTGGCAGCCTCACTGGCTACCTGTCCACCGACACCGTCGACGTCAATGGCCTGAGCATCCAGAGCCAGACCTTTGCCGAGTCCACCAACGAGCCGGGCACCAACTTTAACGACGCCAACTTCGATGGCATCCTGGGCATGGCCTATGAGTCCCTGGCCGTGGATGGCGTGACTCCTCCGTTCTACAACATGGTGTCCCAGGGTCTGGTCGATAGCTCCGTATTCTCGTTCTATCTGGCCCGCGATGGCACCTCCACTAAGGGTGGCGAACTGATCTTCGGCGGCTCCGATTCGTCCTTGTACTCTGGCTCCCTGACCTACGTTCCCATCTCGGAGCAGGGCTACTGGCAGTTCAACATGGCCAGTTCCTCCATCGACGGCTTCTCCCTGTGCGATGACTGCCAGGCTATTGCCGACACCGGCACCTCCCTGATCGTGGCTCCCTACAACGCCTACATCACCATCTTCGAGATTCTGGACGTGGGCGAGGACGGCTACCTGGACTGCTCCACCGTCAGCTCGCTGCCCGACATCACCTTCAACATCGGTGGCACCGACTTCGTTCTGAGTCCCTCGGCCTACGTCATCCAGTCGGACGGCAACTGCATGTCCGCCTTCGAGTACATGGGCACCGACTTCTGGATTCTGGGCGATGTCTTCATTGGCCAGTACTACACCGAGTTCGATCTGGGCAACAACCGCATTGGCTTCGCCCCAGTCGCCTAATTTACGATCGCATTTGGTAATCAATAAATACGAGCTCTTTGAATTTTACACCGAATCTCTGGGTCACCTGAAGTGGGTCACCTTCTGAAGGCTGATGGTCTAGCAATCTAATCTGTTTACGACCTTGTAAGTGGTTGGGCTTTGCGTTTTACAGCCATGGGTATTTGTGCTTATCTGTTTTCCACTTATAATAAATGAATTGGATCATAAATGAATTAGAATAAGGAATTAACTTTAGGCAATCAAGTTCTATGCACCGCATTTATTGTCACTAATAACTTGCTAATTGCTGATAAGATGCGTGATAAGATTAAACATTTTTCACAACAAATGAGTGAGTGTTACAAAGTGATGGCGTTTAATTGAACCACTATTAATGTCCCCATCCATTGCATCCATACAATGCATAAACTAATTGATTATCACCTAAGTACAAACGCTTCCAAACTATTCCACTCAGACTACCTCGTGCCTGTGATTTATTGACACTTAAGGAGACTGAAGCGGTTATCCAACTGTGTTATCCGGTGCTCCGCAAATCCCCAGCTGGCAGTGGGACAAATGTTGACTCTGGACCCAAAGGAGATGATGTGCGAGGGGGGAGTTGGAGGAGGACGTGTTATGAAGGCAATGACAGAAACCATCAGCTCCGGGAGCCAATTCATTTGACCAGCCTGTTGCCCGGGCAATGAAGTGTGTCACCGGGTGTCAGGAGTGTCAGTAGTGTCAGGAGGCGACTGTGGAACCTCGGGGGAATGCCACAGATGTCGGGGATAGTGCTGGGGTGTCAAAGGATAGCCACTGATGTCAGAGAATTGTGCGGGACTATAGTTTTGCGACAGCAAACACAACAGTGACAACACCATTTGGGAGCAGCGGCAGAAGGACGAGGGGCATCCGATGGGACGAGGGTACGATGACAGGAAGTGGAAGTGCAGTTGAGCAATGCAAAAAGTGGAGGTCTTGTGAAACGTCGGGAGCGTGGACAACAGGTTACATTGCCGCTGCTGGCTAGTTTCCAACGCAAATGAGTTGAGCAGGAAGGTCGGAAAACAGGAAGGGTAACCCAGATTGGGACTGCTTCGTTGAGCAGTTAATGAATCACTTAATGGAAAAACCTGGTCGCCACTCGACTTCCGTTCTGTGTGTAAACTCAACCGCCCCCATCGACTTCTAATTGATGTTGACCTTAGAACACTAAGCTGCTTGGCTTTTCAAAAAGTTTATGAAAGCACTGGAAAACGGCCCAAATGTCTGGCCAGGAAAATGTGTAAAATGCCTTTGTAGAATCCAAACTGATGGGGAAGTAATATTTTTCTCTGGTTAAGGTGCGCTTAATTTAGCTTAAATTTACTCTAGATTGCTCAAATTGCAGTTTGGAAGTTTATGGAATCATTTCCGATCTCTTTCAGGAGACAGCCGCACAAAGATGACCAACCGATGCGCTTGCTTCGCCCTGGCCTTCCTGCTCTTCTGCCTCCTGGCCATCTCGAGCATCGAGGCAGCTCCGATGCCCAGGTAGTTGTACCCTATTCCGCCACCCAACTGCAGACATATCCTTTCCAATTTGGCTGAGCACATACAAAAGGATATACACAGTCTAATTAAATTCTGGCACTTAAGCTGCGAAGACCAAAAAATGTGCCACACAAATATTTGAGCAAAGCAATTACCCCACTGAATAAGAGTCCTGGCCATGTGCGAGATAAAATAATATACTTAGACAGGCGGAAAAGCGCTCGCATGGCGAGGGAAATTTTCAATTAACAAAATGTAAACGTTGACAGAAAAGTGTGTTAAAAATTTGCGGCACTTGTGCCGCTTATGTGTGTAGATGGCAGATTCTAAGAACAACTCTTGTGTGGGGGTTTTAAAACTCAATTTCCCTTTATCAAAGTAACTATTAAAAATTCATTGACCCTGCCCGACTAATTAGCGATTGCTCGAATGGAAAATGCTCGGAAACATTTGGGCTTTAACAAATAATTGGGTTTCCATGCAAATGAAGATTTTAAGCCAGTCGAATGTCAAATTCAACGGGGCCAGCGTAATTAGATATCCTGCTCAGCCGCTTTGTGCAGATGTATAAATACAACACAATCAGACACCCCACAAGCCAATCTCTAATTTTCCATTTCGCTGACTTTTAAATAGCCAATCCAATGGAGGATACGGTGGCGCTGGCTATAACGAACTGGAGGAGGTGCCCGACGACTTGCTCATGGAACTGATGACTCGCTTTGGACGCACCATCATACGGGCCCGGAACGATCTGGAGAAGTAAGTGATGGACCCATATATATATATTTGAATTCTAACTGCAAAACCTACTCGTCCTCAAAGCTCCAAGCGAACCGTGGACTTTGGCCTGGCCCGTGGATATTCGGGAACCCAGGAGGCGAAACATCGCATGGGTCTGGCCGCAGCCAACTTTGCCGGAGGACCCGGGCGAAGGAGGCGATCCGAGACCGATGTCTAAGTCGGTGTCTGGACGAGTCCGGACTGCGCGTATCCTGTGGACGTCAAGGACGAGTGTCAGCTTCTCCACCCAAACTGGACCCATACTTTGATAACTTCCTAGAGCTTTCATTTGCATTACGTTCAATTGTTTGTTATTCATTGTACATAAATATTTATTACGGAAATGTCCTCATGAATTCATCACATATTTCCTATTTCCCCTCAAGAATTATACAAAACTAATATTCAACAGATATCGAAATTATATATACCAATGGCGAACACCCGAATAAAAGCGTTAAACTGTTGCTCCGAATGAAAATGTTGAACACTAATTATGAAAATTTTCAACTCAGATTTAACTCTGTCACTCTGCTAATTGCTCGTTTTGACCCAAGAATAGGGGAAAAGGTAAAGAGAGAAGGGAGAAACTTAAATAAATATCCTAAATATATATTCAAGTGTAAGCATAATCGCGCAAAAAATCTTTAACTAGGTATGTCTTACATAAACTAACAAAAAAGAAAAAGAGCTACACAAAAACACATACATACTTATATGCTACACACTTTTGGCCCCCAAATGAAGCCAAGAAAAAAACCCCAACGAAACTGAAAGTTTATTTTATCAATAGCCGACTTGGTCCCACGCGACTCTTGAGTATTGTAAATATAAATTATTAAAACACACGTACAACTAATGCGATACAAATATATTACGGAATTCTACTTGCATATATATTTAATAATTATTGTGTCTATGCTGCAAACATATATCTTAACGTGAGTCGGACACGATCAAATAAAAATCTACATTTTGGGAATTGGCTTGTGTTTCATTATTTCTTAACCGGGGCTCCCCTAATTTGGAAATGGCCATTTTATCCTTGGCCCCAAACCGAGCACAATCGCACACCTGACGCATCTGGCCATCCAATTGCCGGCGCTCATAAAATGTATCTTTCCATCTGGGAGTTGCAAATGCATTGCACATCGCCTGTTCCAGCAAACCAGCCATTAAAGAAGCGAGCTGCAAATGCAATTGATTTTATTTATGCATGAATGTATTTACACGAGAATTAGGATCGGGTGATTTATGCATGGAGTTCCAAATGGAGCTGGCCAGATAAGTGGACTTCAAGGTACCATAAATTCCAACACACTCAACTCGTAGTTGGCAATAAATAGGCTACAACTAATTAAACGTAGACACATAAATACATATATATATATATGGTATGTGGTAAATTAGAAGCGTCAAAGGCAACAAGTGCGAATCAGCAAACATTAACTGAAACAATGAAAATCGAATTGGGCACAGTTTTTCTTGTTGTATCTTTATCGAATATCGAAAAGGTGATTCAGAAATATATTTTTATGAAGCGTGACAACAAAGATAAGGCCGTATATTTTAAGTTGTTTGTATGAAGTCGGAAGTGGCTAATGGCCTTTTTGGTAAATAAATTCTGATTCCGAGTAATCAGCCATTAGTTTATCCAGCTTGCGTCCATATCGCTGCTCCTGGAGTGGCCTTTTGAGCTGAGGAGACACCATTCCAGCAGAAACTTGCTGTCGATAGCTGCGACGCTCTCTTCGAGTTGCTGGGTCCTCCTCCAAGTCCCTATGAATCACACCCACCTCCTCGGCCTTTAGCATCATCAATTCATCGCGTAGCCATTGATTTTGCAGAGCCAGTATATCAACCTATGCTCAGATAGAAGTCGATTACATTTTGAACGCTTGTGTCTTTGGTACACCTTACACTATCCAATTCGAATTTTATTTCAGCAATAAAGTCATTAGCTTCATCAAGTTCTTTTTGAACTTGGGACAATTTATATTTTAGTTGGTCGGTTTCACTGTGTCCGCAATATAGGATCCGCCGCATTTTATGTTTGAGTTCATCCACTTTTGACTGATCCATTCGCAATTGTATCCGTACTTAGGAAGTTCTAGAGCTGAACTGCATTGAGGCAACATTGTTGTCGTCCATTTAGCTTTTGCAGGTAAACAAAGGTTGGGGCTCTTGCCCCAATAAAGATAAAGCCTTATCATTCTTATACATTGTTCTTTTGAAATCTTAGCAGCCAAAATTTGGTGATACCTATGGAGCTTTTAAATTAATGTTTAAAACACATATTGTTTACTTGATTTTGATACGATCTATTTGACTCTATTCCCTTGCAAAGGAAATTATACTTTAGTGAGAATGTATAATCTGGATCTCCATCATCAGTTGGATTGATAGCCATCTACGCCTATTTGTCGATTGAGGTAGAAACAAATGCCATTTTAGGTTTTTAAATGACTACTACGAGTCTGGACTGAATTCGATTTCCACAAATCGGGAACTCCAAATATTCAAATGTATGGGCTCAAAGGAGATTTTTAGAGAAGCACAATCGAAATCCCGCAGAACCTAGGGCGATAATATAACTTAGAAGTCATTGCACAATTTGGTCTGTGTAACTTACTTTACTGGCATCCAATCCAGTGTTGTGGAGATGCAGGGTCAGCGGAATCCTGCGACTAAGCAGAACTTTTGACAGGCAGGAGTTTCTGAGATCCACCCACTGGCTGCTCAGCTTGGTAGAGGATAGGTTTAGGATCCTCAGGTAGTGGCAGTGACCTATAGAGTTCCATAGATGGCTGGGAGAGGGAACTTCTCGCATCGCCAAAAGGTGCAGCTCTTCTAAATTTGGCAATTTGTGGCAGATGTTGTGCAGCTGCTGCGAGTCGATGTCATCTTCCTGCAGGACCAGCCGACGGAGATTGGTCATATGCAGCATACTTTCCGCCACCCGCTCACTGCTCCAGAAGGAGTCGTTGAAGAGAAGCGATTGAACCTTCAGCGGCTTGTGCCTGGCCACCGAACCTAGCAAAAACTCATAGTAGTCCCGCGTGTAAAAGGCCAAACGGCGAAAGTGCGGCAGATTCATCAGTCGTGGCAGGAAATCGCCCAACAAATGGTGGTCGTCGATGTGGAGCTCTTCAAGCGTGCTACACCGGGTTATATCTACAACCTTTTCGCCCAAGTTCACGTTGTATCCGTAGTAAAGCAAAGACAGCTTGGTCAGCTTTAGGCTGCCAAAGATCTCCGCGAAATTATCCGGGTCCAGATACTCACACCAGTGTAGACTCAACTCCTTCAGTTGCCTCCAGTGCCACAAATGACGACCTGTGGTGCTGCTATAGAGTGACAGCTTGGTCAGGAGCGGAAACAACTTGGTAAGCAGAAGGGTTTCCTCGTCCGCCTCCTCGAGGTTGTAGTCCATGTAGCAGTGCAGCGATCGAAGGTGTGGGAAGCTGTATTCGGTCCACTTCCTAAGCAAATCACTGCTGGCACTTGGCAGACTCAGATGCTCCACTGTTGCCGACCAGCCACCCAGGCATTCCCGCATCAGTTCTAAGTACACAATTACATTTATTAGTATGGGATCGAATCTATATCATCGGCACTAACTCCTATTCCGGTCCAGAAATTCCAGATCCTCACGGGCCAGGGTCACTGTTTTGAGGTGACCCCATTGATACTTCACGTAGGACGATATATTCTGGTTGACTTGGGCCAGCGAAAGCTGATCACACATGGGCAGGTACTTTAGTATATTTATCCATATGTCTTCATTTATTTGCTCCATCTCACATCGAAATTTTTGTTCAGAACGAGATTAACAAAAACAAATACTGTCAGCTGTTTGTTTGCATGCTTGCCGATCGAGACTTGAACTACTTGCATTTGGACTGCTTGCGTGCAATGCGGCGATTTCCAACACTATAAGCCTAAATATATAAAGATATGTGCACAGGTATATAAACATTTCGAAATATTTAAAAACAGCGCGGGAAAAACATTAATTGTCTGAACATTAACTATTATTACTAGGATTTTTACAGAAACAGAGTAAATAGGCTCTGTAATAAAACAAGCAAGATACGTAAAATATTTCAATGTATGCTTCGTTTATTTGAATGACAAAATGAATCTTAGTCTAATAAGATGCACAATTCTTAAGTGAAATCAAAAAATAATAATTGAATGGTGTTGTTGAAACTTAGTTAACTAATTACTTAACGGCGAATAATGTAATCTCAGTAACATGTAAAATACTTAGGAATTAAATGGAAGAACTTATTTGATTGGCACTTGTGGGTATGTAATTGAAGCTACAACCTATCGATTGGCGTTTATTTATAAACTCGACAATAATAATACTACGTAAGTCCGGGCCCAATTAAAGCACCTCAGTTAGCATGCACTTCGTAGAAAGAATGCTTGTTATTATATCTACCAAGTGGAATATTTACAGTCTTGAAACATTGGGGACGTCTTTTATCCGAAACGGTTGAAAACGTGAAAACGTAGACAGCCGGACACCCATATTTAAATTTTTTGAATTTAAATTTAATTTAAAATTTTTACACCAATGGCCAGGGCAGACAGCATCATAACCAGTAACCAGTTCGGTTACACCAGTGGACTCCCACTATTTACTGAGTGTCATGAACTGGAAGGGAACATGGAAGCTCTGCCCCTTGTGCTCCACCATCAGGTGACCCCGAACGGTGGAGGCCCCCACCACGGTCACCGCCTCGCCCTTCTTCAGCTGCGGCGCCTCCGACTGTCCCTCCTCCGGAAAGTTCATCTTCATGATCCGGTTTTGGGGATAGCTTATTTTCGAGTTCCCGGTGATCGTGTAGGATCGGGATGGCGGCACGGGCGGCGGACGCTCCTGTAATGTAATGAAAGTAATCGGGATTTTAGCAAGAATTCATAGCAGGAATAGCAAACATCGAGAAAACCTACCAAGTCGAGTCCAAACAGGTTACAGGTCTGCTGTATGATCTTCTGGTCGCACTTCTCTTGCGGATCCGGCGGAGGAGTCCCAGCAATGGGTTGTGGTCTGGGTCTGGCCACTGTGCCCCCAATGCCCAGGTTCGTTGTCTTGGCCGAGAGGCGTGGTACTGCATCACAGAGTTTGGGGATTAGATGGGCGGAGAAGGGGACTACCCGTGGGCGGTTCTCACCAGAAATGGGTGCAGCAGCTGCCACCGCGGCCAGGGCGGCCATCGTCGAGGATGCGGCCTTGCTCTGGGCGGCGGAGTTCGCAGTGGTCTTGGTGTTCGGCAGTGGCGCCTGCTGAAGACCTGGTATCTTAGAGCGCTTGAGCCCGCCACTGCCCATCTTCTTGCGCCACCACCAGCCGCGCCAGGTGGCCTGCATCAGGGTGGCGCTCTTGTGCCTGATCTCGGTCCGCAAGTGCTCCAAGTGCTGGCGGATGCCCTCGCTGAGGAAGACATGTCGCTTGCCGGGCGCCCAGGCCAGGGTCACTGAGCCATCCAGCACCGGTGGCTGCTCCAGTGCGTACTGCAGTATCAACTGGCAATCCTCCAGAGCCTTGTCCTCGCTGCGACGCAGGAGCCGGAATGGGGCCAGCATCCGGTAGCGGGCGTTGAACTGCTTGAAGCGCATGCGATGCGGAAACCCACTGGCCATTAGGTTGACCGTCTCCAGGACCTGCAGGGATCGAATCTGGCGCACCACCGTAGCTCTATCGAAGCTGCCTGCCGCCTCGGTTCCATTGCTCCGGATGCAGCGCACAAAGTGCGGCCTGGCGTGCACCAGGGTTCTCAGCAGATTGTCCAGCCTGGTGTGGAAGTCCTGGGTCAGCGTGGACACCGGCTCGTCCCCGTTCAGCAGATCCGAGTGTGAAGTGGGCGAAATGCGGAAGCTAAGACCACGCGGCGCCTGCTGCTGGGCATATAGGGCCTTCAGCTCGGAGCCAAAGAGATGGGTGGCGAAGCCAAAGTTGCAGGTGTGCTTGTAGAAGACACCTACCAAGTCGTCGGGCACCACATCCCGGTTGGTGTCCAGGAAGTCCGTGGTGTCGTACTCCACCCGCCCGGCAAAGTGACGGATGAGGAACATGCGTGGATCGTGTGGTTCGGCGGTGGGTTTCGTCTCCAAGCGGCTGGAGCTGCGGTGCTGCACCTTCAGCTTGGTCACATAGCTCTCGGCAGTGCCTCTAACCGAACACTCCGCATCCAGCATGCTGAGCAAACCAGTTCGCAGCGAGGATATCAGGTCGATGCAGGGCACATTGTCCACGTAGTCCACCTCGGTGTCGCACACGATGCCCTCGTCGCGGCAGGATTCCACAGAGGACTTGAAGATGTGCGTGTTGTAGAAGTGCTGCATGGTCTCGGCGCACAGGTTGATGCACAAGTGCTCCAGATGGGCATGCGGCGAAGGCTCCTCGAAGCCGAACATGTCCAGGATTCCGATGAAGCCATCGGAAGTGGCATGGCGCACCGCATTATTGAGCGCGGCCATCGACTTGGAGCCCGCATTGCCGCCGCCAATGGTGGAGGCGTGCTGGGAGGCGACATCCGCCTGGTTGTGCACCGACTCGTTGGAGTCCGAGCTGAGGGTGCCCAGCGTGGATCCCAGCCGCTTCAGGCTGTTGGCCCGCCGCACAATGGTGGCCACCGTGCGGCAGTACAGCGCCTTTGCCAGGCAGTCCCGCGTCATGTTGGCATCGCCATCGCCACACACGGACTTCACCAGCTGGCCGCGAACGTTGTGGGTACGGGTGGTCAGTCCACGGAAGAGCGCCGCCGGCGGAACGCCGAGCAGACTGGCCACCGAGTTCAGCTCCGTTTCACCCTTCACGTCCACCTCGAGTCCCTGTGATGTAAGTAAACCTTAATTAGTTAACGTGTTCAGAACATCATAACCTAATAATCCTACTTGCGCTATCCTAAAGACAAATAACTTTGCAATCAGACCGTAAAATATTCGAAATATAACTTTGTATTCAGATCATAAAATATTCAAAATATAACTTTGTATTCAGATCATAAAATATTAAAAATATAACTTTGTCATCAGACCATAAAATTTTCAAAATATAACTTTGTATTCAGATCGTAAAATATTCAAAATATAACTTTGTATTCAGATCGTAAAATATTCAAAATATAATCAGATTTAACTTTAAAATATATCTTTGTAATTATATTATATCATAAAATTCAAAGTATAACTTTGTAATCAGATCATAAAATATTAAAAATATTTCTCGCTCAGAGTGTTTTGTCGATCACGGCTTGTCAGTCGTAAATTACCTCCATTATTGTGACGAATGGAATATGGCATCAGCGCAAGAAATTTTGCATTCTATAATATGAATGCCAGAGTCGGATTCGAACTCACGCGAACGGATTCGAAAGCGAGCACTCTGACCACCACACCAATGAAGCATCAACCTACCAAGCGGCTAATAACTAAGTTGGCTAGAACTTGAAATCGCCGCTAGATGGCGGTGAACATTGAAATAAAATAAAGGTGAAGCTGTCAACGCATTGGCTTCAGTTTTGCAACCGATTGGCAAAAAGTCTTACAAATTAAATAGCTGATTATTTAATAATAAATAAATATTAAGAGAATGTATATATAATATACAAAACTAAAATATCCAATTGGCCAAGGTGCTATCAACTACTACTCACCCCTCCATCAATAAACTGAACATTTCCCAGCAGCAGGACGGCGGCAAGCACACGAACGACGTCGAGGAATGGGATGCCCAGGATGCCGAGGCAGGTCTTCCAAGCCTGGAACCGAGCCGCATCCTCCTGCTCGTTCTGGCCGATGTCTCCGCGCAGATAGCGTAGATTGGCCGGCGAGTAGCCATCCAGGTGGAGCTTCTGGCGCTCCTCCCGGCTGAGACCAGCCAGGAGTTGATAGAAGATGTGATAGTTCTTCTCCTTCGGCAGCGGACGAATGACGCGCGTCTGGTCCAGGAAGTAGCAGTGGATCTTGGTGCGGTAGAGCGCCCCATCCGTGACCTGCACCTCGATAAACTGGCCAATGCGACTCGACTCCGAGTTGGTTGTGGTTTTGGCCGATCCCAGGGATCGAAGTACTGTGAAGGCAGCTGCCAGGTGCTTGAAGGCATCAGTCTCCGGGCCGCCGCCGGCGATGGCAAATAGCTGGCGCAGCATCAGCATCGCATTGGCCGTCTTTCCAGCGCCCGATGTTCCCGACAGGATGATGGCCTGCGGATAGCCCGTCTCGCTCTGCTGACGCACTGCCTCCTGGACGATCTTCTGCAGCTGCGGGGCCAGCGGCATGGCGCGTGTGGAGGTGAGGGTCAGCGGGTTGCCCACGTCCAGGTACGGATTGATGGAGAGCAAGATCGGACCCACGTTCGTCTGAAACGCCGCGCAAGATAAATGATAGCACATTAATTAACCCGGTGAGTCAAAAGCTTCGCGGGTCATTTGACGACTTCGAGGAAAAATGTATAAATGAGTTAACAATGGGGTCAGCAAGCTGTTCTGCAGGATATTTGATACAAACAAAAAGTACAAAACCAAAGTAGCTAATTACCTTAGTTCCAATCACGATTATATTTTTAGAATCTAATTTATTTTAACTGATAAACACAACACTTAACTGGAAGAACAAAAACAGAAAATGTTGACTTCCGTACCACAATGGTATTAATTGCCATACGAGTGCTTACTTTGCTTAGTCAAATAATTATAATTACACCTATTAAGACTTATAGTGGGAAACTCCAAGTTATAGTTGCATGGAGTAAGAACGCCTCGATCCCATCAAATGTGTAAAACCCGATCCAGGCCCCAGACCTGGTCTGTCCACATGCTCACACCTCATCCGCAACTCCGGTTGTCAAACTGTTCCCCTCGACTAGATCATATCGACTTCCTCGGCCTTCCACCACGTAATTGTCGAAATTAGCTGTTAATCTGAGGCCGAGTGCAAACGGAGTTGGCTTTTAATGACAACCTATCAGAATAATTGCCGTAGACCCGTCTCCCCAGACCGGTTCCAAGTGCTTTCCCTGTGTGGCTGTGTTGCTCTGTGCCCGGTGTGTCCGGTGTGGACACAAGTGATTCGTAGGGGCGGATCCCGATAATACTCACAAAGTACCGCTGCTCGTTGAAGCGGGCCTGCAGCGTCCGCATCACGGCGTGCTCGGTGAGCGGTCCCGACAGGTGGATCAGATCCTGCATGTCCTTGGGCGAGGAGTTGGCCTGCTGCTGCTTTTGCTGCTGCGCCTTCTGCTGGCTCTCGGAGAATCCGAATCCGAAGGGCAGTGTCTTCACACTCTGGCAGGGATTGGTGTGCTTCGACTGCGGGATGTATGGCAATTGCTGGCTGTGGGCGTGGCTGAGATGGTGTCCAACGCCTCCGGCATGGGTGCCCAGGTGTCCAGAGTTGGACGACCGCATGGGCAGCGTGTTGGAGTTGTTGTTGCTGTTGCTGTTGTTGTTGTGGCTGAGCGGTGCATGGGAGTGGGAACCTTGCCCCAGGATACTTCCCATGCCGCCCATGTGCGGCAGTGTGCCGCTGGACTGGCCATGTCCGCTGCCACTCTGCTGATGCGGCAGGTTCGGCTTCTCGGCCAGCTGGTGCGGAAGTGGGTGTGGAATCGAGGTGTTCCGCGCCGACACCACCGCTCCTCCTCCTCCTCCTCCCCCGGAGCCCGAGTTCGAAGGCAATGTGTGGCTGAAGCTGTGATTCTGTAGGAGCAGTGAAGTGAAAGGAATAAACATCTCTATGAAGGCGAAGAAGAAAAAGTGCTAGATTGCACTTTAGGAATCAATTCTTTTTTATTATTTTAATTCGTTCAAATATTTCAAAGTCCAAGAGTCATGGGTCCTCGGTGATTGCGAGGATGAGCTTTTGTTGTCCCACTTACCTTCGATGTCGTGTGATGTCCATTGGCGTGCTGCTGAACGGCGGTGGCTGAAAGTCCTGCGCCGCTGGAGCTCAGGTTGAGATTCGGACTGGATGCGTTTAGGTCAAAGTTGTTGGCCTTGGGACCCGCACTGGGACCTGGAGGGACTGGCTGTGAGCCATTTCCCTGGCTCTGACCCTGACCGGGTCCATGACCCACGTGTAGCCGATTTCGCAGTGTAACCAACTCGGTGCTCAGGCTTTTGAGCCGCTGCTGCAGATGAACTGCCTCGTTGGATGAAGATGCATCTGAAGAAAAGATTGTTAGAACGATGAAAAATTAAATAGGCACATTTATCATTCACATATGTATTTTAATAGTTAAGACTTTAGATTTTCCTGCGAGCTCTGTGATTTGCTGGCAAATGAATTGAGTTGATCTGCGAGCGTCTTTCTGACCACCAAGTACATGCCACCTAATGGGAAACAAAGACTTCGCAAAAAATCTCAGCTCGTCTGCAATCGCATAGAAATTAGTTTGCCTAACGAAGAAAAGAAACGCAAGTCGACTTGGCGTAGTGGCCAGTGATCATGGATGAAATCGGTATGCCCACCATCATGGCGGTGTCCTTGGAATAAGGATAGAGCACCGGCTGACCCTCCTTGACCCAACGGATCGGCCGGGAAAAGTGCTGGACACTGGTGTCCAGTTTAATGCCGCACTTTCCCTGATGTTGCCGAAAACGCGGCGGCTTGTGCAGAGTGTTGTGCGGGTCGCGGTAATAGTCTCGGTACCTCTGGGTCTCCAAGTAGAAGTTGTCGATCCTGTCCAGATCGTCGTAGTCGACACTGACCATGCCGATCCGAGGAGCAAAGCCAAAAATGCCCCGCCTATGAGCCTCGGAATTTTTGGCCACCATCCTCATGTCGACTTCAGGAATGGGTTCCTTTATCATATTCAACAGTGAACGAGTAAGCCCTTGTAACTTGATAAAATGTTTGTCAAAAAGTGCAAGCTATGACTGCTAGTTAACGGAAGGTGTGATAAATATAAATAAATGATATACCTTTTACTGACTGGGTACAGGTTTTATTTTATTCATAGTTTTGCTCGGCATAGGTTAATCTATTTTCCTAAATTAGTTGTGTACATTTGCTTGAAGTCTTAGTACCTTAATTTGGAGTGAGAACACCAAGGAATCCGAAATAGAACTATTTGCAGCCTGCGGTCAACATCCTCGATAGTATAGTGGTTAGTATCCCCGCCTGTCACGCGGGAGACCGGGGTTCAATTCCCCGTCGGGGAGAATGTGAAAGCATTTTTTTTATTTTTGTAATTAAATAAGTACTACTTTGGTTCTATTAAATATATTCTCTTCGTGTTAGATTAACCAGATATAATATTTATTATTTTTTCACTTTGAAATGTTTTCCGTTGAATTATTTTTCTTTTTTATAACCAAAGAAACAATAAATCTGACCTAGAAATATTAATGTTTATGCATATATTAACTGTTAAAAAAATAAAATAAAAACAAAAATTTGAAAAATAAATGTTTCAACAACATGAACTTGAAAAATAAATGTTTTAACATTCTCCCCGACGGGGAATTGAACCCCGGTCTCCCGCGTGACAGGCGGGGATACTAACCACTATACTATCGAGGACGTTGAACGCCGACGGCCAAGAGTTCTATTCGAAATCTCTGCTTCATTTGAAACTTTGTAGACCAAATCATAAACGATAATTGTAAAAATAGTTGATTTTTGCCGATTTAAAATAATCACAATGCCCTAAAAAGCAATTCCAAGTATAATAAAGTATTTTAAGGACAGTAAAATAGTTTTATAAAATTAAAGATTGTTTCCCTAATTCGGTAACCCGCTTTAAAGCTTAATTGAATGATGTGAGATTTTAAACCCTTTGAATATTTATGACTAAGAGAAATAAAAATGTTATATATGCATAATATTATTTGTTGAAAGTATGCATTGAATAGTGGTACTTTGGCGCTCCCTTAATCAGCAGACCATATGGAAATCTTCATTATGGCGAAAAGGAATTTAATTAGTTCTAATTAACAACTCAATACAACGAAAATCAATTCGCACCGATTAATTTCGCCAGGGCGAACAGACTTTGGTGCACGCGAATCGCTTTGGTAGACTTGTGCCTACGGAGCAGAAAAAGTCATTTTAATAGATATAGATGGTGAGCATTTACATAAAATGTTAATGAACCAATTTCGCCGGAGTTGAAGAAAAATAGAGACACCGAAAGCGCTAAGATGAAACACAAATTGGCGGCAGGTGGATACTAAATTTCAAAGACGTGTGTACATCTAGAATAGAAGATCAATGGGCAGACTCGACGAGCAGCTTATAATGCCAACTGATTTATGAAGACTTTCAAAACAGGGCCGAGAGGTCATTGTTACAACCCAACACCCAAAAACGCTGACAAGCTAACAAGATTTTATTAAGCTTATGCGTTTCGGAAACCTGTCCACTATTTTGTACAGCCTTCAGCGGGAAATGAAACTAATTAGGTAGTGAAAAACGAAGAAAAGCTTGGATGATGAGTACAGCTACCAAAGGTATACCTTCGAGCCATGTATCGGTGAGCCAAAACATAGAGGCAGACTCGAGCTTATAACAAAATCAGAGTCGACAATATACAAGAAAACAATATCATTGATGACTTGAGCTCAGGCAGAGGAAACCAGTTTTGGTGTAGGTTTTTAGTGCTTTCTGTGGCCCAAAGTTGCACTCAAGAAATAAGACAAAAGCCACGGAAAAAGGTACAGAAAAGTCTTCCATCGCAGTCAGGCGAACATTTTCGATTCTCTGTTCCAATCAATTAATTGGTGATAATTTAACCAACTAGACTAATGTAATACAATTAAGATAATTAGCAATTAGGTTTATTAGTTTTTCCTTAACGCTTCAGTTCTCTGTATTTTTGCATTGAGCGGGCGACAAAATTTCGTGGAAGCTGAGTAACCAACTTGGCCCAAACTGGTCCCCAAGCACAAGTTATCTGCTTTTAGTGGGCCCAGGGGCTGGGGAGGGGAGAAGGTTGGTGTGGAAGAACAGCGCGTCGCTCGAATGAAATGTTGCAAGTCGAGAGGCAAGCGACACCCATACAACCAGGTATCCATATAAGCGGATTCGGTTCGTAGTTATTGCCGATGATTATGAATATGAATGCGATCGACTGCGAATGCTCATGGAGGTTGATTGAAAAACTCAGGCAGGCAGCCCAAGATGGTAAAGACAGGTAAGTCAAGAACCAATCAACTGGCACTCTTGACAGATAGTCCAGAAAATAAATCCAGCAAATGGCTCGACTAATGGTCAATAATATAAAGTTAAGCTTCTGTTTCAGTTATGTATTTGTTGCTAAAACAGGAAATGGACTTATAAAATATTAAAGTAACAACAGTGAACTTTCAAAAAAGCAGTAAAATAGGGAAGAAACTAATGTTTCTTCCCTTACGAGTAAACAATTCATATCGGATTAACTGACTTTACACTGAGATGCTTTACAATTGGCGCTTCTTGTCTATACCTAACGAAAGACTTAAGCAACAAACTTGAAAGTAGCGCCTCAGTTTTAAAGCTGCAGTATCTGTTTGAATGATATCTGTTTGGTACTATATTATGAAAAATCCTTTTTATTTGCTGTCTTGAAAAGCAATTGGACTTAAGCAACTAACATTACTGTTCAAACGATTTATGTGCATATGTGTTTCCGTGAAAGTTATTTATGTTCAAGAAGTGAACTCTTCATGCTCAAGATGGTGAATATTTTCCCTACCTCTACACATAAGACTTGGAAAACAAACTCGAAATTCCTGTCACTGATAGACTAACTTATCACAGGGATGTTATCCAACTTACCCTGCAGCTTCTTCTCCGTCTCCCAAAATTTTTGCAATTCGGTAAAGTATTTATCCAGTATGAAGACTTTTGACAGGCCCAATGTGGCCATCGTTGTTGAACATTTGTGTGGCCACGACTACGACGACCAAGACGGCGATTTTCTTATTTGAATAATTCCGTATACAGGCTCTCACCGCCACCGATACACTCGCAAATGGCCGGAGGAACAGGTTTTCGTATTCGTATTCGTATTCGTATTTCGTTTTTCGTTTTCCGCACAGGCTCTGGCAGGCACCGTATCTATATCTATGCCATACAGACCGAACCCGAAACCGAGTCCGAATAAATATATATACATACGTATGTGGCGAGAGGGATATGTATGTTTGGGCGAACGTATGTGCAGCTGCAACAAGTGAAGCAGCCGCACAGCACACGAAAATAAGTAAACAAGCGAAAAGAATGCAGAAGGGCGAGAGACGGCCAAAAACCAAACCGAACCAAATCACTGGAAGCCTGGCCGTCAGGTTTTTGGCTTTGGCTTTGGTTTTGGTTTTGGTTCTGGATCTGCTTTTGCTTTTCCTATATTATTGTGCTTTATTTTTTCACCCCCCTCCTCTAGTTTCGCTGCTGCTGTTGTTTTCTTCGCGGCCGCGCTTATTTTCTCGTTTTGTGCAGACTTTTTTTCGTCGTTTTGGTTTTGAAAAACGAGTTTCCAACTTTAACTCCAGGTCCAACAGGCAGCCAGACCCAGTGTAGATGTGCGCTTAGATACCTCGATGCCTCTCGATACCTCGAAGGTACACACGACACAGTACGCTAGGCAGTATACAGCCACACAGAGGGAGATGGATTGGAGTTTTCAGATCGATCTCCGCTGGATCCGCGAATTTGCTTGTGGCACTTTCAACTCTCGGCTAGCGTGACCTCTTCGCCGATTAATTATAAACTTTAATTGGGTTTTGAGCGGCCGTTTCACTGGGTATTCACTTGGAACTCGAGCAAGAGAGGAGAGCGGGCTCAGATACAACATTCAAACGCGAGCACCCGATGCGAACGAACCAAACTCAAGCGGCAGACTGAACGCGTCTGCTGCTTCTGCTTGGGAGCAGCTCCCTAAGATCTTGGGTCGGGTCTCTCAGCTCTGGTTACGTGCTCTCCCGCTCGGCCAGGTAACATTTCTAACAGGTAAAAGGCTCTACCCTCTGAGATGCGTGCAGTTGCTCAAATATGAGGTCAAGTGTTTGAACCCCCGCCCGCCGACCATCTCGACTCGTTTCCCTGGTCGCGTGATAATTAGCGACGATTGTTTGTTGCTTTGCTGCATTTCGCAATTCCCACAGCACTGCAAGGTGAATGCGCATAGATTCACAAGGGTGTTTACATATGTAGCTGCTAGGCGTTTGACGGCAACACAACTACGTGACTTTAATAATGATCCGTAAATATTAAGACAAGCAAACCCTTTTTTTGCTAAAAAAATCATAGATACAGCAATTTTAAGGTCCCTTTTTAAAATAACGGTTGCCAATTTGTGCGGTTGAGACGGCTTCGCGGGCGATCGGCGAATTTTTATCGATAACTCTATAACCGCTTCGCGGACGCAAGCAGTGAAACTGCTTAAAGAAAATGGGTGTCGATTGGACTGCTTATTTAACACCTTAACTCGCCGACGACTGCTTGCTGGTAAAAACCGTTTCTTTCGAATTTCAACTTTATTTATAATTTAAAATGTGTTTGGAAATAGGCTCTTAATATTCCCGAAAAGCAAATGTTTCAACTAAAAACTTTTTAAATTCCAATAGATCAATAGTAAATCAGTTTTGTATAAAACTAAAGTAAAGAAATGTACATGATTGCCATTAATTAAACATTTTTTGGGCCATTTTTATCTACAATCATTTGGCCCGTTTGATGTCTATAATTTTGACTCTTCCAATTCGACGACAAATTGAATGCCACCGGCTTTTTTGCCATTTCTTACATAATTTATATTGAACTGGTTTAGGCCCCGATACAAAATCGTGGGCCAGCTTTGAGGTTCGAGCTTGATATTTTGCACATAATATTCACCCTTTGGGAAGACACACATATCTTTAAGAGGCGGCAGATTTGAGTCCTTGATCATGGGCAGAAAGAATTTACCAAAGTAGTTGGTGAACCAATCGCAGGGCCTTGTGCGCACTTTGATGTTTCCTTGAATCCATTCTCCGTTCTTAAATTGCAGAATATCCATCCACACCTCGAAGGAGTCGTCCATGTCGACTTTGTGCGTAATCGATCCATTTAACATGCGATCTCTACCAATGAGCCGCAATGAACAAGTGAATAGAGTTTCCGTTTCGCCTTCTATACCATTTATCGACTCAAATCGGCCGATCATTTTGTTTCCCAAGCACTGTGAATCCAACATTGATCAATGATATTTCAAATTCCTTAAAAGCTCTATAACTCGAGATAGACCTTTTCTGCATTTACCTCTAATATCAATACATGTGAGACCGTCCACAGGACTAGAAATCCTTTATGTTTCCAAAGACACATTTTCCCGAGCAAAGCCGATTTTAATTAACGATGCAACTATGCCAGTCACTCTGATATATAATAAAATCAGGCAAAACTGTGTCATGTCTAAGGTCTATAAAATTTGGTTTTATCGCTGGTCAATATAGATAATAAGAGGGAGTGGCCAAATCACATGTTGCCATTTTCAAAGCAAACACATAACCCATTTAGCCATACAGCAAGCATTTCCAACAGTAAAAGGGTATAATTAATTCGTTGAAAAGTTTGTAGGAAGTGTTTCGACCATATAAAGTATATATATTCTTGATTAGGATCAAAAGCCGAGTCGAACTGGCCATGTCCATCTGTCCGTCCGTCTGTCCGCCCATTTTACATTTTTTTTACATTTCTTAATTTTATTCGTAATTTTTACCGATATTCCAGAAAATTATGAAATTTATCTTTCGCACTTACACTAGCTTAGTAACAGGTAGTCGGGGAATGTTGTAGAAATTCCAAAAGGTTAAAAAATGTCACAAGCCTGAAGCTTTAAACTCCATAACTCAACTTATCTTTATCGCATTTTGAAGTTTCATACCTCTAAATGTTTCTGGCGCAACTCTCTACAAGTCTGCATTCAAATTTAGAAATAAATTATTTTTCAATTTTTTTGTCATTTTTCTGATGTATGATGTAGAAATTCCAAAAAATTAAAAAATGCACCAAGGCTAAAGTTCTAAACTCCATAACTCCACTTATCTTAATCGGATTTTGAAGTGGCATACCTCTAAATGTTTCTGGGGCAATTCTCTAAAAATCTGCATTCAAATTTAGAAACTTATTTTTTTTTAAATTTTTTGTCATTTTTCTGATGTATGATGTTGTAGAAATTGAACAAAATTAAGAAATGTCCTAAGGCTGAAGTTCAAAACTCCATAACTCCACTTATCTTAATCGGATTTTGAAGTGGCATACCTCTAAATGTTTCTGGGGCAATTCTCTAAAAATCTGCATTCAAATTTAGAAATTTATTTTTTTTTCAATTTTTTGTAATTTTTCTGATGTATGATGTAGAAATTCCAAAAGTTAAAAAATGCCCCAAGGCTAAAGTTCTAAACTCCATAACTCCACTTATCTTAATCGGATTTTGAAGTGGCATACCTCTAAATGTTTCTGGCGCAATTCTCTAAAAATCTGCATTCAAATTTAGAAATTTATTTTTTTTTCAATTTTTTGTCATTTTTCTGATGTATGATGTAGAAATTCCAAAAAATTAAAAAATGTCACAAGGCTAAAGTTCTAAACTCCATAACTCCACTTATCTTAATCGGATTTTGAAGTGGCATACCTCTAAATGTTTCTGGCGCAATTCTCTAAAAATCTGCATTCAAATTTAGAAATTCATTTTTTTTTCAATTTTTTGTCATTTTTCTGATGTTGATGTAGAAATTCCAAAAAATTAAAAAATGCCCCAAGGCTGAAGTTCTAAACTCCATAACTCCACTTATCTTAATCGGATTTTGAAGTGGCGTACCTCTAAATGTTTCTGGCGCAATTCTCTAAAAATCTGCATTCAAAGTTAGAAATTTATTTTTTTTTCAATTTTTTGTAATTTTTCTGATGTAGAAATTCCAAAAAGTTAAAAAATGTCACAAGGCTAAAGTTCTAAACTCCATAACTCCACTTATCTTAATCGGATTTTGAAGAGGCATACCTCTAAATGTTTCTGGCGCAATTCTCTAAAAATCTGCATTCAAATTTAGAAATTCATTTTTTTTTCAATTTTTTGTCATTTTTCTGATGTTGATGTAGAAATTCCAAAAAATTAAAAAATGCCCCAAGGCTGAAGTTCTAAACTCCATAACTCCACTTATCTTAATCGGATTTTGAAGTGGCGTACCTCTAAATGTTTCTGGCGCAATTCTCTAAAAATCTGCATTCAAAGTTAGAAATTTATTTTTTTTTCAATTTTTTGTAATTTTTCTGATGTAGAAATTCCAAAAAGTTAAAAAATGTCACAAGGCTAAAGTTCTAAAATCCATAACTCCACTTATCTTAATCGGATTTTGAAGTGGTATACCTCTAAATGTTTCTGGCGCAATTCTCTAAAAATCTGCATTCAAATTTAGAAATTCATTTTTTTTTCAATTTTTTGTCATTTTTCTGATGTTGATGTAGAAATTCCAAAAAATTAAAAAATGCCCCAAGGCTGAAGTTCTAAACTCCATAACTCCACTTATCTTAATCGGATTTTGAAGTGGCGTACCTCTAAATGTTTCTGGCGCAATTCTCTAAAAATCTGCATTCAAAGTTAGAAATTTATTTTTTTTTCAATTTTTTGTAATTTTTCTGATGTAGAAATTCCAAAAAGTTAAAAAATGTCACAAGGCTAAAGTTCTAAACTCCATAACTCCACTTATCTTAATCGGATTTTGAAGTGGCATACCTCTAAATGTTTCTGACGCAATTCTCTAAAAATCTGCATTCAAATTTAGAAATTCATTTTTTTTTCAATTTTTTGTCATTTTTCTGATGTTGATGTAGAAATTCCAAAAAATTAAAAAATGCCCCAAGGCTGGTTCTAAACTCCATAACTCCACTTATCTTAATCGGGTTTTGAAGTGGCGTACCTCTAAATGTTTCTGGCGCAATTCTCTAAAAATCTGCATTCAAAGTTAGAAATTTATTTTTTTTTCAATTTTTTGTAATTTTTCTGATGTAGAAATTCCAAAAAGTTAAAAAATGTCACAAGGCTAAAGTTCTAAACTCCATAACTCCACTTATCTTAATCGGATTTTGAAGTGGCATATCTCTAAATGTTTCTGGCGCAATTCTCTAAAAATCTGCATTCAAATTTAGAAATTTATTTTTTTTTCAATTTTTTGTCATTTTTCTGATGTATGATGTAGAAATTCCAAAAAATTAAAAAATGCACCAAGGCTAGAGTTCTAAACTCCATAACTCCACTTATCTTAATCGGATTTTGAAGTGGCATACCTCTAAATGTTTCTGGCGCAATTCTCTAAAAATCTGCATTCAAATTTAGAAATTTATTTTTTTTTCAATTTTTTGTCATTTTTCTGATGTATGATGTAGAAATTCCAAAAAATTAAAAAATGTCACAAGGCTAAAGTTCTAAACTCCATAACTCCACTTATCTTAATCGGATTTTGAAGTGGCATACCTCTAAATGTTTCTGGCGCAATTCTCTAAAAATCTGCATTCAAATTTAGAAATTCATTTTTTTTTCAATTTTTTGTCATTTTTCTGATGTATGATGTAGAAATTCCAAAAGTTAGAAAATGCCCCAAGGCTAAAGTTCTAAACTCCATAACTCCACTTATCTTAATCGGATTTTGAAGTGGCGTACCTCTAAATGTTTCTGGCGCAATTCTCTAAAAATCTGCATTCAAAGTTAGAAATTTATTTTTTTTTCAATTTTTTGTAATTTTTCTGATGTAGAAATTCCAAAAAGTTAAAAAATGTCACAAGGCTAAAGTTCTAAACTCCATAACTCCACTTATCTTAATCGGATTTTGAAGTGGCATATCTCTAAATGTTTCTGGCGCAATTCTCTAAAAATCTGCATTCAAATTTAGAAATTTATTTTTTTTTCAATTTTTTGTCATTTTTCTGATGTATGATGTAGAAATTCCAAAAAATTAAAAAATGCACCAAGGCTAGAGTTCTAAACTCCATAACTCCACTTATCTTAATCGGATTTTGAAGTGGCATATCTCTAAATGTTTCTGGCGCAATTCTCTAAAAATCTGCATTCAAATTTAGAAATTTATTTTTTTTCAATTTTTTTGTCATTTTTCTGATGTAGAAATTCCAAAAAGTTAAAAAATGTCACAAGGCTAAAGTTCTAAACTCCATAACTCCACTTATCTTAATCGGATTTTGAAGTGGCATACCTCTAAATGTTTCTGGCGCAATTCTCTAAAAATCTGCATTCAAATTTAGAAATTCATTTTTTTTTCAATTTTTTGTCATTTTTCTGATGTATGATGTAGAAATTCCAAAAGTTAGAAAATGCCCCAAGGCTAAAGTTCTAAACTCCATAACTCCACTTATCTTAATCGGATTTTGAAGTGGCGTACCTCTAAATGTTTCTGGCGCAATTCTCTAAAAATCTGCATTCAAAGTTAGAAATTTATTTTTTTTTCAATTTTTTGTAATTTTTCTGATGTAGAAATTCCAAAAAGTTAAAAAATGTCACAAGGCTAAAGTTCTAAACTCCATAACTCCACTTATCTTAATCGGATTTTGAAGTGGCATATCTCTAAATGTTTCTGGCGCAATTCTCTAAAAATCTGCATTCAAATTTAGAAATTTATTTTTTTTTCAATTTTTTGTCATTTTTCTGATGTATGATGTAGAAATTCCAAAAAATTAAAAAATGCACCAAGGCTAGAGTTCTAAACTCCATAACTCCACTTATCTTAATCGGATTTTGAAGTGGCATATCTCTAAATGTTTCTGGCGCAATTCTCTAAAAATCTGCATTCAAATTTAGAAATTTATTTTTTTTTCAATTTTTTGTCATTTTTCTGATGTATGATGTAGAAATTCCAAAAAATTAAAAAATGTCACAAGGCTAAAGTTCTAAACTCCATAACTCCACTTATCTTAATCGGATTTTGAAGTGGCATATCTCTAAATGTTTCTGGCGCAATTCTCTAAAAATCTGCATTCAAATTTAGAAATTTATTTTTTTTTCAATTTTTTGTCATTTTTCTGATGTATGATGTAGAAATTCCAAAAAATTAAAAAATGCACCAAGGCTAGAGTTCTAAACTCCATAACTCCACTTATCTTAATCGGATTTTGAAGTGGCATACCTCTAAATGTTTCTGGCGCAATTCTCTAAAAATCTGCATTCAAATTTAGAAATTCATTTTTTTTTCAATTTTTTGTCATTTTTCTGATGTATGATGTAGAAATTCCAAAAGTTAGAAAATGCCCCAAGGCTAAAGTTCTAAACTCCATAACTCCACTTATCTTAATCGGATTTTGAAGTGGCGTACCTCTAAAT